AAAAAAATCTAAAAATAAAATAAAACAAATACAACAAAATATGGTTTTAGATCTACCATATATCAAGTATGAGATCAAATCAACGTTTAGCAAATAGTAGGCTACTAAACGAACAAATGGCCGAACGATCAACCATACCAAGTAACTAACCCAATGAACAAACAAACCAGCAACCAGTCAGTCAACCAACCAACCAACTAATCAATCATTCAATAACATATAAAATGAAACTAAAAAAAAACAAAAACAAGGAATCTTTCCTTTGAGCGTGGAGCGCACTCACAAAAATCAAAATGATACAAGCTCAGATGATTGAATAGCCTCTTGCTTAGAGGTTATTAGAGTCTGTCACGCAATGTTTCGAAAATTTGCGTTACAGACACTAAGAACCTMTGCGTAGGAGGCTCTAAGGGTTAAACTGGCTTCCAAGTTTACAGGATGGACATGGAAACCATGGTCTATTGGGGTATGGAGTAGGTTTCAGAGGATGCAATTCATAAACCTTTAAACTAAAAAAACCTGTTTAAGCTGAAGGTGCTAAATCGAGAACATAAAGACTGCCCATGAAAATGAAAAGACATGTTGATGTAAATGAAATACTGTGGCTACTACTGCCCGCATGTGCCGCACACCATCCTTAGCCGATTTGTGTGAATGCATTAGTACTCACAAAGAACTTTAAGAGATCTTGTCGAACAATTCTTTACTCCACGGGAGTTTTCTGCAGTGCAGGTAAACGATTTGTTATGAAGATCACGTGAGGCAGTAAGCATTACGTTTGATGTGGTACGTTTAGTTCCGTTCCCAACATTCCAGGTGTAACTTGCTGGGGGATATGCAGGGACACTACAATTCAATGTTATGTTGTCTCCCTCCTTCACCTCAACTGGAACAGCTTCGCAAGTAAGTTCTCCAAAATCTTGTGTGGTGAGATGGATAGAAAAATAGTAAAAAATAATAAATATACAAAGTGATAAACGAATGAAGGGAAGGTTGGGAGAATTGATAACTGACAAAACTTTCAAATTTGTCACATCCTATAGATATCATTTTTGCTGGACATACGAGTGTATGGAGGAGCTCTTAAAAAACAGGTAACTAGCCAGTCAACTGAAAAAAGGAAATGCATTTCCCCGTAATGTATACCTACGTTTTATTGCAGTTTACAAGCAAACTCTTCAAAKAACAAATAATAGGTAAATGAGAAATGAAACAACCAGAACTTTGGGTTCCTTTGACACACACATATATATATATATTCTCCAAAAACCTAAACCCCGTTATCACGTAACAAGTCTAAACTTTACAGTATCCAAAAAATAATAATAAATAAATAAATAAGAAAGAAAGAAAGAAAGAAGAAAAAAAAAAAAAGACTTAACAAGAGAAAGACGAACACTGATTATCAGTTCAAAGAGGATATTTTCTAAATATAAATTACTAGACAATATTAGCTCACATTGTACAGCGACATTACTTGTGCAAATACCCCGATCACCAACTTCGTTATACACAGAAACCTTGTATGTCCCAGTATCTTGTCTTGAGGTAGTAAATGTCAGTCTGCTATTGGCGGTCAGTCTACTTCCATTAGGATGAGTCCAGATGTACTCATAAACAGGTGGGTTTCCTGTGGTGGTGACGTTTAGTGACACGTTGTCTGTTTCATTAACTGTTGTTGAATTAGGATGTATTGTACACGATGAAGAAACTGGAATTATTAAAAGAGTACAACAATATTTGAATGTTGAGTGAGTAAATATAGCTATCCACATCCTCCCATCTAAGATAAGAGAACAGATACGATTTAAACCTTAAGTGAAACCGCAGCACGTGTTATTCAAATAAAGATAACACTTACAGTAGACGATGAGTGGAAGATTTTYCCCTTTTGTTTCGTTGCACTCTTTGCCATTATTAACTGTCACATGGTAATTTCCAGTATTTTCTCTGTTGACAGAACCAAACGTCAGGTTCACTCGATTCCACACTTGTCTACCATTGGTCCATGTTATGTTCAGTGGATCACTACCAGTGATGTTACACGACAAGGTCACTCTTTCTCCTTCAACTACTGATCCATTGATCATATTCTTACTGGTGACTATACAGTTTTCGGCTTTCGGAGGCTCTAAAGAAAAAAGAAGGTATACAATAATGAAGCAATTGCTTAACGACGATTCATTAGTTACTTTACTGTCAATATGGTATTGCTATGGCAACTTTGAAGACTTTTTAAGCAACCATCACATCGTAGTTTATTTTGGGAAGCATTTGAAACATATCAAAAAATGAATAATTTAATGCTTTTCTCCTGCATGTGATTTTTTGTTGCCATGACAAAAAATTAAAAGAATTGCAATGAAAGAGGAAATAAACAAGAAATGAAAATGTAAATGAAAATATGAAAATATCATGAAATCGCAACAATAGTTAATCTGGAAATATGTTTATTTCAAGTATTTAACACGAAAATAAGTTTGCTTCAACGCTACTTACATGCGCTGGCTGGTAAGACCTTGAGAGCCAACACAAAGCCTTATAAAATATTCGATTTTATAAGTTATAATACACTCAATAAAAATTACTCGATTCTGATTGGGCAAGAGGAGTACAATTAATGTGTCATAAGTGTGCTCTTCAAGCACATTTTTTTTAAACCTGTATTTTCTCAAAGTTCACATATTCATAATAAATGGGAGACGTATTTAGTAGATCCCATGCCAAACGAAAAAAATATTTATTTATTTATGCGCCATTGTAGTTTGGTTAGGATGGTTATTGCTTTTTCTTGTTAAAAAAAATTTGATAGAAGAAACGATTACATTGGATATTGTTTTAATACCTTTGACAACAAGCTCCAAACTTCTATTTTGGCCGAACCCCACAGTATTGTTAGATACACAGGTGTAGTTTTTCTTGCCTAATTTATTTAATGTCACACTAAACACGCCGCTTGCACTGTTATCATGGATCGGCTTTGTGTTGTGATACAAAGAGTATTTAGCATGAGGCTTGGCATAGGATGTACAGGAGATAGTGGCATTACTTCCACGACAAAAACCTGTCTGGTTTGGAGAAATACTGATTGATGTAGATTTTGGCTTGACTAAAAAGAAATCCAAAGGCATAGATTTTAATAAACAATTTTCTACAATAATTAACAAAAATAAAGCAAACAAAGAAAGAACAATAAACTAAGATAAAAGCAACAACAAAATTGATAAGCACACATAATCTATCGATATGGTGAATTTTCTTATCATGGATGAGTATTACAAAACAAAAATCGTATGGATAAAGTAAGCTATTTTACTGTACCTTTTAAAATGACACCGAGTGTTCCTAAACTACATTTCACCAATAGTAACAATGTCCAAAATTGCAAAGGCGCACCTTGTCTCTTACTTGGAATGTAACATATTTCAATATAACATGTCCCTTATTATCTCGTCTCGTTATTGCAGAGATCATTCACCCAATCCCTGAAAGACTTTCGCAAAGTCAATCGTATCCTTCTTAGTTCATGCGCCCTGAATAAAGCCCATTCAATCCAACCAGGATCACATCACACGCACTCGTTTTTTTTTCAGACTGGCTTTCATCTTGGCTCTGTTAGCCTCAGAGAGGTCGACTTGGATTAAGTATAAATCCCCGATAGCGTGTAAATTTCACTTGACAGATGTATTATTTGCATATTTTTTTCTGCAGACAATACATTTGTTATGAAATTCACTAAAGGTTACTAAATACGTTGGAATATAGTTTGCTTTAAAAATGGGAGGGGGGGGGGGGATAGGACTTTTTTATCTTTGGTTTAAAAATTCTATAATAAAACATTTATTGAACTCGGTTTTGGCACGATATCGTAAATTATCAGGACCTTGACATGTGTTAGCCATCCGTCCCCGCCCTTGATAATTTACATAGTATAATGATCACTTCTGAATCTTTTATTTCCAGAAGTCGTTTAACCGTTTAACATCCCTGTGGGTGAATAGTGATGTGGGAAATAGACCCTTGCATGTGACGTCAAAGCAGTTCCATCTGGGGGTCAAAACAAAAGAATTCCAGTCTTTTCAGAATTGGAACCTATTGTTTTATCCCCCAGATTGAGCTGATTGATAGCTTTACAATATATTTCTCGCGTTTTATTGGTTATCATCAATAGGACAGGAGGTACAGGCAGATAAGCTGACATCACAAGCGCGCGTTCTTTACTTTGATTGTTTTGATCACTCAACGAGGAAGTCATCGTTTTTGTTATTGTAAAAAAAAAACACCCGTTTGAGCTCTGCTAAATAAAATTATTTTGAACCATAACTACATTTGATTTGATACGTATGGGTATTATATCAGCTTCTTAAAGACGAGATTTTTTCCCCGTTAAATTTTGCCCAGTATATGATAAACGACTCGGGCAATTTCAAAACTATTAAAACACTTGTGAAATTAATCCTTAATTTTACTCGACCCCATACGATAACCTATACTTTTGCTTCCTAACTGTAGGAAATTTTCATGGTTCGGAAGCTCTCTTTGATCGGACAAGAGCCACGATGTAGAACACCCAAAGCTAATTCTGAAAATGAGGCTACCACCAAAACCTATAACGTGTATTTTTTGTTTTTTTCAGTTTTTGGTTTTCGATTTGAGTGCGCGAGTGCAATCGTGGGCTCTAATAATAGCGTCATCGTCACTTCGTAGGAGCACGTACAGTAGCTTCATTTTTTCCACAGTAGGCAGTCAATCTCATACCCAGAGCCTTTATTTCTTACTTAGCATGCTCGACGAAGACCTGCATTCTAGCCGAAGGACTATGAAATATAATATTGTATAAATAATAAGGTATGTCTGACAATCACTAAACAACAACAACAACAAGACAAAACTTACAATAGACGCTCAAGTTCTTTGAACTGCTTGCTTCACCAACAATATTAATGGCAGTRCACACGTATCTCCCTGAATGATTTGTGGTTGCGTCGTTGAATAACAGTGCCTGTTGGTTCAGCCCACTGAATAGACTTGGGTATGGTACTGTCCACTTATACCTTGCTTCAGGGTTTGCTTGTGACTCGCAGGCTAGATTGAAGCTGTCACTTTCGTAGACAAATATAGTGCCATTTTCTTCTCTAACCGTGGACTGAGGATCTTTGAATACCGATATATTAACCAAGCGAGGAATGACTGTAAGGAAAGAAAAGAGGATATCAAGTTACCTAATTCAACCTAAACCTAAAAGACTACATATGGCACAACCAACAATATTTTTTCTTTACACAATAAAAAGGAAAGGTATGTGGATATGTCGGGGCTAGCTTCTTGTGGAAAACAGAACCACCCATCATAGGAGCAATAATACCTATGTGTAGAGTCGATTGCACAACTACGTTACTAAGATCTTAATCCGCTATCCCGGATACAGGATGCGACACTTGTATAATCATGTATAAGCACTGCAGTTAGTCCATATCAGAAAGAAAAAAAGGTTACTTTGTGCCACAGCAAAATACTCATTTTCTGGAGCCGGGTTCCCTGTGGTGAATGCAATATATCAAAGACAAAGAAATGAACAGAACTTTGGGTTCCTTCGGCCGCTCTATGTGGTTGACCCAAGACAGCTGCAGATGACGATGAGAACTCTGGGTTCCTTACATACATATATTTATTCTCCCCAAACTGAACTATTATAGCAAATCATGATTATTGACCACTTATCCAGAAGACGAAATAAAAGTATACCCAATTGTGATCAGACTATTTTCTAACTATAGAAAATAAACGCATCAGCTTACATTGTACAGTGACGCTACTTGTGCAATAACTTCTTTCACCAACACCATTATACACAGACACCTTGTATGTCCCCGTATCTTGTCTTGAGGCAGTAAATGTCAGTGCTCTATTGGCGGTCAGTCTACTTCCATTAGGATGAGTCCAGATGTACTCATAAACAGGTGGGTTTCCTGTGGTGTTGACTTTTAGTGACACGTTGTCTGTTTCGTTAACTGTCGTTGAATTAGGATGTATTGTACACGTTGAAGAAACTGGAATTGTTAAAAGAAGCAAGCAAAATCGATTTTATAATTTGAAAACTGATAAAATACATTATGCTATGAGATTTTAAGTCCTCCCTATCTACCCCCTCAAACATAACAAAACACAAAACAAGAATTGGGAACTCAACCACGTTCTAAACCATAGCACGAGGTAAGGCAAAGGATGTACATACAGTTTATGTGAATAATAAACCGCTAGTGTTAATAAACGATGATATGCATTGTTTTCTTATGCAAGGATACTCATGGACTTATACCGATGTTATCGATATACTGGTATGCTGATAACGTTGTACTTGAGTACTATAACTATAAGACGATCTTATTAGGGTGACAATTCACTCACTAACTAACTCGTACGGTCGGCCGGTCGATTAATCACGATCAAGGTTAGCCTGCAGAGCAGGCGTTCTTTTCATGGATTTGAGAGGAAAAAACGGGGTTTGGAGTTCCTGTTTCGAACAGGAGCCCGTGAGAAAAATGGGAACGTGGGGGTAAGTAATAAAATAGCTAGTTTTAAATGTTTTGACCTTTGATTATTTACATCAGAAAGTGGTCTTTCACTTCCGTTAAATTCATCACCTTTTGACAGCTAGAGTTTTGATCAAGCATATCTAATTAGAAGGCGTTTATCAAAATAACAATGGATGCTGGCAGGCATTCCCTTCTTCCCCTTCCCGCTCCCTCCGCTTCTTTTTTGCTCGGTTTCAATTCTGGCTCGTACGTTCCAAAGTTCCCCCAAAACCGCAAGAACGCAAGCTTTGCAGGCTAGATCAAGGTGGGCAGGCAGGCCGACAGGGATGTGGACGGATTTAATTTTCCTCTAAGTTTATTTTTAACTCTAAAGACAGGGATCAATGACATGGAAATTCAACTGTTAGTGTCAAATATCATTTTTACGACTTACAATGCACGGTGACCTTGCGTGTACAATTTCCAGAACGTCCTAAGCTATTTCGAACCAAACAGCGGTAAATTTTTATGTCCGTCCTGGAAGCCCTGTACTGAAGGACTGAAGTACCAGGATGTGTAGTGCCATTAGGATAGGTCCAAGAAAACTCATTCACTGGCGGTTGTCCTTTTCCAACGCATGTCAAAGCTACTGACCCACTTTCATTTACGATAACATTTGGCAAATCTGGAGATATGGTACAACCAATAGGATCTGTATTACACAATGAAATAACATTTTAGTGGTACATAAAATGTTTTCAGTCGGAGAAGAAATGATAAAAAATAAAAACACTACACCGAAAAAAATACTCCCACAACAGAACCGAAGGATGGTATTACGATGTATTTCCACCTACTGCGTTTGACTAAAACGAATGTACTTGTACTTTCGTGCCGAGGACGATATTCCAGGAACGCAACTTCTCCGCTGGAACTTCGCATGTTTTGTAAGCACCATTATAACAATCAATTTGCTTTTTTTATTTAAAGCAGTTTATAAGTATGGACGTATGCCAAGCCATTATACATAACAGAAAAGTCACCAAAATAAAAGACACCGAGAAGGAATATAGCAAGTAAAATTTTCTTTTTCAAACTTTGACAAGATAAACCAGTCGAACAATCGGAATGGTGGTAGCTCAGAGTGAAACGCTTTCCGTGGAGGATACAAACAAATATTTCTCGATATTTGCAAAATAAAATACGACATAAATGATAAAAAGAGTAACTGCAGTTTACTTACATGCAACTACTACACTCGAGGTGCTGCTGGAATCACCCAAACTATTTTTAGCAGTACAGGTATAGTTTCCTGTATCTTCAAGTGTTGCGTCGATCAACACCATTGTTCTTCCATTGTCTTTGGTCAGCAGTGTTCTGTTTGTGGTGGATGTCCAAGAAAAGGTCGGTTCAGGCTCGCCTGGAGCAGAGCACTTTATTGATCCGTTTTGGTAGTTTTCAATTATGACTAACTTCGAAGTCACAGCCACCGGAGGATCTGATAAAATATAAATATAATTACTTGAACAGGTAAAGGATCAACACACAAATAAAGGAGAGTTTCTTTTGATATTAACAATTACCAAGTTATTGGCTCACTTTTAATAATTGGCAAAACAGTATATATGGCACAACTAACAGGATCTGTCAGTATTACACAAAGAAATGAGAGCTATACAATGCTATATAGGGCTTAACTTGTTCTCGAACGAAAGATAGCCAGAAAAGAAAATCATCAGTGAAACTCCCCAGTGAGTTACTTACTAGTCAAAAAGTTAACAAATGCGTAGTGAATGATAATGTCAAGAGACAATATAAGTTTGGAGCCATAAACAATTCGGTTTAAATACAAATATGGCTTCATGGAATTGGGGTAAATACCGGTAATCCGGTGTCAATGTAGTCTTCCCCGCATCCGTTTTTAGACTCATTAGTGGGGAGGGAACGTTGCGTGACGACCGACACTAAAAAAGGATGCGAGGGAGACTAGTGTCAATGAGTAGAATGAAAAATTTGAACAAGCTGCCAATTGGAATGAGGCAACGGGATGTACAAAAAGGAGAATGAATAATCCTTCGCGCTCCTTAATTTACTTTAGATAAATCATTCACTGATTTAAGTGACGGCCTATTATTGAATGTTCAATTTTAGTCTACGACAATGATGTGCTCGCACACAAAAACCCTCCAAACCAGATAACTAAGCTGAATCACCTTTTTAAAAAACAGGAATTTTTTTGAAATCTTCCTTTTATTCAAAACAAAGTATTGATAAAGTTTGGAAAAAAATTTACACGGGTATTACTCGTAGAAAAAAAACGGAAAGTGTAAGTTTATGCGTTTTTGGCACTCGTTTTGAACAAAACATGTCAAGCAAATTATCAGTAGAAAAATAAATTTGATTAATTTTTTATCGGGAGTAAGTACCAATCGGGAGGAACGGAAGAAGAAAAGAAAGGACGTAGGAAGCAGGGGAAAAAAGATCATAAGAGAATGAATTTTAAAAAAGTACGATTAATTGTACTCATGGAAAAGAAATAAAATATGGGTCGATAAAACTACAACTAATCCTATTTTATTATTTGTAGAATGAGAAATCAATTACGAACTCATCTCTCCCCTCCCTACCTATCAAAGAAAAAAAGATCGAAATATGAGTTTTTCAAGGTTTTCTGGGTGGGGTGGGATAACGTCAAATGAAGGCTTGATTACTGATGACCTTAAGATTTTATTTTTCCTTTTCCGCTTCCTTTTTCTCAAAACATTGCTGAAAGGTTTTCGTTTAATAGTAATTATCTCGAAAATAACCGCTTTCCAGATTTGAAATCAGCATTAAATTTGGGTTGAAAAAATCGTGATTCAACAACAATGTTATGCGGGATGGTTTGCACTTTAGTGGACAGTCTCCTCAAAGACAAATGACAAATGAATGACACAGAACTCTGGGTTACCTATAAATATATTCTCCCAAATCAAAATATAGATATCAAATATCAATTCAAGACTAATATCCAGAAGACAAAAAGAGATAAACGTACACCCAACTATAGTCAGAGAGGTTATACAGTAATGTCTAACTACAGATAATAAATGCACCAGCTTACATTGTACAGTGACGCTACTTGTGCAAATACTCCTATCACCAACACCATTATACACAGACACCTTGTATGTCCCATTATCTTGTCTTGAGGCAGTAAATGTCAGTCTGCTATTGGCGGTGAGTGTACTTTGATACACACATAATGGTATACAAAAACACTATATAGTGCTATTGATACATCTGACAATATTCTCAGTACAAATTTAACATAATGTGAGCTGATCAATGACCCAAAAATGTTTGAGTGATGCGTCTTGTTACTCAAGGTTTTATCCTTGCCATATGCTGGTGGTGACGTCAGGGAGGTCATCATTTAATATACAAAACTGAACTAGTACGGATAAATTTGGAAAGCGTTGTTGTTTCCCCGATGGCTATGATAAGAATTATTGCTAATTTAAAGTTCCCACACCGGTCAGTACTTCAAATTACAAGGAAAAAAAGATAAACACAAATGACTTCCTTGTAGTCACGGTTATTAGCATATGACAAGAATAAAACTTTAAAACATCAAGATGCATCACTCAAACTGTAACGAGAATATTGTCAGATGTATCATAGGCACTTTAACACAAACTTTCAATGAAATAGAGTTGCCCTTACTTAATATTTGGAAACATCAAATTAGATAATTGTAAGGGGGGTTCCATATCTTATAGGTGTTTATGATAAGATAGCCTGCATAGCGGCCATCTGTTGCTGTTTTTTGTGGAGATTGGAGAAAAGGAATTAGGGAGGGGAAAGGGAAGAGGAAGGGAGAGGAGGGGGAAGAGGAAAGGAGGGGGAATAGGAAAGGAGTGGAGAGGGCTTGCCTCCAAGGCCCAGTATTTTGCATACACGCCCCCTGAATTAGATTAATTTCCTGTTACATATCACTGTGAAAACAAACCAATCAAAGTTAACCGGGAATGATCTCAAGATAAACAAACATGGTAGGAAGACAGGGGGTCAAAATGCAAGATAGGGATTGCCGAAGTCCATACATGTAAATGTGGTTTTGAAATACAATAATATAGTGCATGCTGCTGTGTATAGAAAATTAAGATCCAGCAAAACATCCCTGTACTTTTGAAGTCTTAGACAAACTAAACATTGATGGCTTAAAAACTTGGGAAGGAAAATGTTCGACAAAATTTGTTTTAAAAAAGTCGTTATAGCTAATCCAAACCTTAATGTTATCGTTCGAAACCCAAATAAATCCTGTAGGTAGAATTCCAAGTAAGCTTAAGCCTTGCCCAAAATATAGATTGTTTAAAGCCGTCTTTTGCTCTTCCTTTAACAAAAATCTTAACTCAACATTTGATAAAAACCCTGGAAAAAATATCTTGGAATTATACATGTATACCTTCTTCTTCGTCAGTCAAGATGCTGTGATTCTGATACAGAACTTGATATCCTTTAACTTGATATCATTGATCGCCACTTTGTGATTGGCACGATAGTAATTCTTGTCCAATCAGATTCTACATTCAAAATTTTAAAATAGAATATGCAAAATTCCGAGCCTTGGAGGCAGGCCTCTCCTTTTCCCTGCCCTTCCCTCCTCTTCCCCAGTCTCCCACTCCTTGCAAAAAAAAAACAAGAGGTCCACTATGCAGGCTAATGATCGGGATAGAGGTGTGTAAATCCATAGGTGACTAATTATTATAAGGCAACTAAGAAATGAATGAACCAGAACATAAATTCTCCCAAATGCACTTAATATATAAAATGGACAATTACTGACAGTGCAGACACAGTGTGGACACACTAAGCTAAGGAGGACAACTTGTACAGAGCTGTAGAATGTTAAACAATCACGACATAAAGTGAAAACCAGAGGCATACCAAGGAGTTTTGTAAGAGGGGCTTTGAAAACAAGGCTGACCATGAAGTCGCTTGCTTTCTATTCCTCTTGTGGGCTCACAATCGTAGATTAGAGGCAAGCTGATGGCAATTTGATCAAAACAAGTTTTACAGTGGAATTGGCATTTTGTTTCATAAAGACAAGGAAAACAGCTTCACTGTTTTTACTTATTTATTTATTTAGCAAATCAATTACAAAACTTATTTGTAAAAAAAAAGTTGGGTTGTAAAGGAGAGTTTCCTGAACCCCTGGAAACCTCCCTTGTGAAAGCCCCTTTTAAAAATTTGAATCAAACCTTAACAAATCAGGAGCAAGCAGTGAAGCATATACATTTGAGAAAAAACTTGGAAGTTATCAACAACCATGGGAATAAGTGATTATGATCAGCTGAGGGCAATATGACTCCACATTTTGCTCTTTCCTGATTGGCTTAAGTCTTTTTATATCTTAAAATTTGTTCAACTGGTCCTGCTGGTTAGTGTGTCCACAAGGTAATAACTAATACACAAGAGATGATAAGAGATAAATACACCAATTATGATCAAAGAAGATTTATACTGTCTAATAACTGATATTACATGCATTATTACTTACATTGTACAGTGACATGACGTGTGCAATAACTCCTATCACCAACACCATTATACACAGAAACATTGTATGTCCCAGTATCTTGTCTTGAAGCAGTAAATGTCAGTTTGCTATTGGCGGTCAGTCTACTTCCATTAGGATGTGTCCAGATATACTCATAAACAGGTGGGTTTCCTGTGGTGTTGACATTTAGTGACACGTTGTCTGTTTCATTAACTGTTATATTTTCATCAGGATATATTTTACATGACGAAGGAACTGAAATTGTTAAACAGATCAAGTAAAATCATGAGTCATTAACTAAGTGATTAACTTTCCCCAGGACCAAATTTGCCAACCCCTCTCATCTGTCACAAAAAATAGAATTTGGAACATTAAGTTACAGAGTGCATATTTATTTAGTATCAACATCATTACTATAGAAAAAATGTTTGAACTTTAAAGTGCAGTCAGTCAGTCAGTCAATGACAAATTGCTTTATTTTTTGAAGGATGATTAATGCAAATTCAAGTACATTTTCATAACAAAATTAATAACCTATCCCTTTTAAAGGACAATTA